AGGAATGTCTCTGAGTTGCAGAATGTAAAAGGAAATTGTAGTTCTCAATTTCCAAGAAATAAATAATTTTGAGGAAAGAACATAGGTGCAGTCTCACTGCTTTAGAAAAGAGCTATTTCATGCTTTAAAACAGACTAAATGATAGAAATAGAAATGTCCTCAGGCAAACTCTGTGAGTTATACCAGCAAAATAATATTTTCCTTGGATGAAAATTCTGGTGCAAAGTTATTGGGAGATCTCCCCAAGAAATCTACTACATATTTGAGAGAGTTTGTCTGTCTGTTCAAGAACTCATAAATGGTAAGAGCTAGGACCACCAAATTCAGTATGCAGCTTCCTTTTATAATTTAAAGCAGGGTAAGAGTTTGGTTATGCCAGGAAATTGTGATATGCCTGAATAGGATTGCTTCTCATAAAACCATACAGAAAAGACAAAACCCCTAGGCAGGTACAAGGGGCTGGCTGTAGGCATGCCTATCCCCTGAATTGGGTACTGCCTTAGCCCTGAACCTTCCAACCCCCCGGTGCCCTTTAGGAAGGGCAGGGTGAATGGCTGAAGCTCCCTCCCCTGATTCATACTGAATCATTGCTGGCTATTCCCCTTTATCAGGGAGCGAGGAGAAAGTGTGCAGTTTGCTGCATTCCTCCCTCTGGCTGTGGAGTGCAGGGGGTAGATGACGTTGGACCTGCTCTACCCAGGGGACATGCACTCCTCCCTCTGGCTGTGCCCACTGGAGCTGCAGCAGCCATGGAGAGGTGCTTCTCACCTGGTCCCAAGCTGCACTGGACAGAGGGCTGTGGTAATCCTCTCTCTCCCAGGGCAGCCTGCATACTGCATCCTTCATCCCCAGCCCTACCCCGGGGCAATGATTTAAATGAAGCATGTACATTTAATTTAATTAAAACAACAAAAATGGATGTAATAACCCAAGCAATGCCATGTAAATCTTCTAGGATTACATAAAAAGGCTCCAGGAAAAAGAGGATTGTAGGGTGCCTAATATGCTTTCATTTTAGTTTGGATATATCTGGTTTTGTGGCAGTTCTTTTGCGAGGCCATCCATCTCTTACCACAGGCAATTCAAACTACTTGTCTGTTTCTTCAAAACCATACATAATTTTGCCTTATATACACGGGTGGTCAGTGCAGCAGGGGCTGGGAGAGGCAGGCCTCCAACCCCAGCCCCTCACCCAAGGCCCCCCCCACTATGGGGAGGGATGGAGGTGGGGTTGGGTGCCAAACGTGCTCCCCAACCATAGGAAGGGTGTGCACATGTGCCTCCCAACCTGTCCAGCCCCCAGAGAACCAGGCAGGGAGGAGGCCACACGGCTCCTGCCTCCCTTGCCCCTGAAACACTGGGGAGGGAGGAAGCTGCGCAGTTCCAGTCTTTCCAGCCCCCAGAACACCAGGGAGGGAGGAGACAGTGAGGCTCCAGCTTGCCCAGCCCCTCGTGCACTGAGGGAGAGGAGGCTGCAAGGCTCCTGCCTCCCCGGCCCCCAGGAGCCACAGGTAGGATGGGCACTGGGGACAGCAACACTCTGCCCCCAAAATGCCTACAGCAAAGCCTTCCCCCCTTCTAGGCTAGCAGCCTCCCATGCTTACATACCTTTCATTTTCTCTTCCCATCTGTGCCTGTGATTCTCCCAGTCTTCTCACCTGACTGCTCCCTTTCCCCCAGTCTCCATTTTGAACCTTTAATCCTATTGCTCTAGGTAGGTCTACAATGGAATAAAAGACCAAGGCTCAGAACACATCTGCATTATCTTTATGCAGACCTTCGCTGTATGTTAACAGATTAGCATTAGGTTTAACACAATGTAATTCCTGTAATGTGTGCCCTTGTAACTTTTCATTAGTGGAAACAGCAGGCAGCTCCCTGCGTATTGCGCCTGCTACAGCAGCTGTCCATCTTGCACAGGTCCACAGGTGAAAATGGTCAAGAGAATATATATATGTAAGAAGCAAAGGGAGTAGATGAATACTTCCTGGAGGAGATGTGGGCTGAGAGGCAGGAGAGGAAACTGCAAGGAACTGGAAGTGAGGCAACAGGAGACTATCTGTGTCTCCCTGATGGCAGGGATGGAGCTCCTGGCAGGTAGCCTGGAGACGAATGTCCTCTCCCAGGATCTCCTCCACTTCATGCAAAATAACTTTCCCTCCTCCCTCAGTTCCATAGCCTGCACTCTCAGGGCTCCCAGAACACATAGGAGGGAGGAACTCAAGGGCAACTTCAGTTTCAACATTAACAGCTTTGGAAGGCAAAAGACTGTCCTGACATTTCCGAGCACCTCCCCTTTTAGGTTCTCACCGTGGATTTCTTTTCTTTCCCTGTTGTCTTTCCTAAATAAAAACACATTATCTCTTAACAATAGTCTCTTTATTACTTGTACTGCAGGGGTGGGTTGGGGGGCTTACAGGCAAACAGTAAATGCAAGGCCTCTCACCCTGATGTTTGACTGCTCAAAATCTCTGGCTGGGCACTCTGCCTCAGTCCCCCACCCTGCCAGATAACTTCCCCCCCTTGCTCTCACAAAGATTATGGAACACACAATAGGCTACCACCACAAAAGGAATGTTGCATTTGCTGATCTCTAACCCCAGTCAGCAGACTCCTACATCTTCCCTTTAAACACTCAAATGCACATTCAACCACCATTCTGCACTTACTCAGCCTGAAGTTGAACTGCTCCTTACTGCAGTCCAGGCTGCCTGTGCATGGCTTCCTGAGCTACAGGAGCAAGGAGTAGGCTGGGAACCACCATTAGCGGATGGCTTTGCCACGATAGGGTTCCCTATGGTATCCACTTTTCCCAGACACACAACTTTCCAGAGTAGAATGGTATTCACTGATTTGGATACATGCATCACAACCCCCGATGTAGATTTCTCCACTCCGAACTGATTCCCAATGAGGTTTAACTGGTGCAGTCGAAAAAGGCTTCCCTTGTCGACCATGCCACATCTAGACTGCCACACTGTGCTGGATCAGCTGATCGTCAGCACAATGCTGTGGCCATTTTTATTTTAATGAAGTGGGGATTATTTAAATCCCGCTTCTTTGACTATGCTGAGTAAACTATTTTACAGGGCTCCGTCGACAGAGCCATGTAGCCTAGACGCACCCCTAGAGTGAAGTGTTTGGCTGAGGCTCACATCAGGTTCTGCTGCCAACTTTTCAGAGACTTTAAAAGCCCCATATGAAAGGCTGGCAAGCTAAATTGAAGTTTCTCCTCCAGGAGGCAGCATTCAAAGCTGAGCTAGTTGGACTTGATACCATGCCCCACGTTGTTGGTGAGGAGTGCTCGTCTCATGGTGTGGGAGTCCTGGCACTGTTTGCCATTCCTGGACCCAAGAAGCATGAGAGGTAGCTAGCCAATATCAAATGTTCCTCAACTACAAAAAAGAATTTAAAAACCACACACACAAAACACATGTTCTCTACATTCAAAGTTTAGTTTTGGTATGGCTTAATATGAGTGTACAGTGTACAAGAGTTTAACAATATGGCAAGGCTTTTGGCTTAGATAATAAACTGTGATTTAACAACATTAAATAACCAGCATAACAAGCAGTGGCCAATTACAGCTAACTTATAAATTTAACAAAATACAAAAAAATGTTTAAATATTGGCCAAATAAGTGACCCATAAAATTGATTCATAGAATGAATTTCCTCTTTCTGTATATGCACGTTTTCTTGAATTTAAATGGCAAATTCCAAACCCACCTACAAAAATCCAGGCAACAACAAAAATAGCACACACATTTTAGCACAGTATATGCAAATAGCTGAAGCCTCCCCCCTTGCCCTACTTTCAAGATTTGAAATTTATTGCACAGAGATTTAAAATCATGCTGAAGATAAGAGATGAAATCCTGGCCATTAAGTCAACAGGAAAATTCTCATTATCTTAATTAGGGCCATATGTTTAAGAGAAAAACAATACAGGCATTTCCCAAAAGTTGTGTAAAAACCAGCACAGTTTAAACTAAACATTGAAGCCTAATACACAATGCCTATGTGTCAGTTTGGTCCATTATAGGTATATATCATCCTTCCCCTCTTACCTACTAGTATGTTTTTGAGCAGTGTTTCAGGTCAGTATTTGAGATGAGCTTTCCATCAAAAATTAGAAATATATATAAAACCAAGTATAATAGTTTTAACATGTATAAATATATAAAAAAATTGACAAATGATTTACAAATGAGTGCAATATGTATAATATACATGAGTTTGTAGTTGGATAAATAGATTACCCCTAACATAGGGTGAATTCTTAGCTCTATTGATGTCTGTTAGGCCCAGATGTTACCTCAGTCCAAAACGGTAATATTTTGTTGCAAATACACACTATATAGAGTGGCCAAACAAAGCATTTATATAGAACACACAGATGATTTAAAACCAGAATACAATTTAAAGGCATCATTTCCAAAACAGATTTTAACAAAAAAAAAAAAGTAAGAAAAATATATTAGCTTCCCAGACACTTGCACACAGACTTTTTTTGGTTACTAATAACTTCATGTTTCTTTTCACATTTCTTTTTACTTCTGAGATTCAACACATATAACTCAATATTTGATTGCATATGTTGGGTAGCATGTAAACATTAAATATTTATCTAATTTCAAAATTTTATAAGTGAAAAGATGATCTCCAAAACAAATTTACTTTGGCACCTCCCAGAATAAAGTGTGCACGTGCACATCTCCCTTCCTTCAAAAATTAAATAGCAGATTTTCATAGTAAATGTCCTTCACAAGATTATGCATATACCTGTCAAATGAACAGATTCAAGAAATATAGTTGAATTAGTATCTTAGGCTACGAAACTTTGCTTTTTTCAGGCTAAGCATCGGTTGCTTAATTGTCGGTTTGTTTTCAAATAGTATTGCTTCACTTTCTGTAGTTGGAAATCTGTTCTTGTAGATCAGTGGATATTCCCTCTGAAACTAAAAAAAAAAAAAAATATAAGGGTAATTACAACAGACTACTTAAAAGGAGATATAGAGGGCTTGAAAAATATCACAACTTGATTGTCTGGGGAGTAAACTTGCTAGACAGGATGAAAAACAAAAAACACAAAAATCTTTGCAACGATACCTCTACCAAACCCATGGCGCCTGCCCTACAGGAAAATTAACTATTTTGTACTACATTCAACTATAAAACATCCCATTTCTATTTAATGTATTGTTTAAAAATGCTCCCTATTTTGTTTTTGGTCAGACATTACTTCCCTTCAGGGGGCTTCACCGAATGTTTTCCTCTCTCATAACATAGCATGGCTTAACTTTTTTATTTCTAAGCAAACATCCCATTTCTATTTAATGTATTGTTTAAAAATGCTCCCTATTTTGTTTTTGGTCAGACATTACTTCCCTTCAGGGGGCTTCACCGAATGTTTTCCTCTCTCATAACATAGCATGGCTTAACTTTTTTATTTCTAAGC